GACAAGGAGCACTAGTTCGTCTTATCTAGGACTCGGCAGCAGTGCCTACCTTTTGTGTCCTTGTCACAGGACTCTAACCGCGAACCTCTAATACTTTTCACTGGTGATGATTTAACGGTCTCCCAAGGAGTGAAACTCACATCCAAGATCAACAAAAGTGCTTGGTTTCTATGAAAAACCAAATGGACCCATCCCAACATTCGCCGTCTGAATTTCCCCTTCTCCAAAACAATCTGATTTTTGATGTCCAATACATAATGTGATTTATTGGCATGATTATGAAGAACTGGATACGAACTAGTTCGCCAACCGGTGTTTCTGTGCAACATGCTACGTAAGACTTTTTAGAGTTCATGTGCTGTTAAAATTATTCATATTGTGTGAAAAAATGATGCATGGATGCACTTGGACGCTTCGGTGTCTATTTCGTGTCTATTCGTGATTCTACTACCGATAAGCCGCTTTGGAGTATTGCGCAACTTGAACTCTTTCGACCCTTTCCCACTCGTCTTGCAAGCACACACACTGGTTGAAACAAAAGGAACAACAATTAAAGCTAAATCAAAATAGTTCACAGTTCTCTTCATCTGTTTTTCACTACACAAATAACTTGTAAAGTTCCTCAAAGTATCACTGTTTAAAAATCTGACTGGAAATTAAATTGACTTTCCTCAAGTTGGTGACACTATGTTCGCCTGCTTTTACTTTACTCGGCTTAAGAACCTTGACCAAATATTTCCCTTGATTTGCTTACCGAACCATGCCAAATTTTATGATGTAAAGCTAACGATCCTCTAATAGGGATTTCCCAGTCATTGACTTCTCCTGACCTTGTCGAGTGAGAAGTCAGAAAGGTAATCTTCAGATCACAAACCCAGTTGAGAAAGGGCTGGGAGTCAGTTGGTTCAAATGAGTCAGCGGGCTCTGATTTTCAAACCGACATGACGAGACAAATGAACCGCTTTTATCACTCCTTAATATATGGTTACCGAATCGATTGCGCTTCCTGAAACAAAAATACCCTAGATCTCGGAGCCTCGTCATAAGAATGCATGGTCTAACCGACTGAACACAAGTCTTCAAGGGATTATGAGCTCAAAACATCAAGAAGCTGCTCTGTTTGTCAGACTATTCTGTCGGTGTAAAGAGGGATCTCTTGAATCAACTGATTGGTATTACGATTCATAACACTGAGAATATCATGAAATATATTGCCAACTTTGCACCAACTTCTTTTCCATTTCTTATAGGGATGGAGGTGCCTTTCTCAGACCGGAGGTTGAATATACATAACAACAGAAGATAGGCAGTCCGTGGTGTATTTAGAAACAGTTAATGGTCTGCGATAAAAAAAATGTATCGGTTTTTTAAGTTCGTACGAATGCAATGTAAACCAGTTCCTGAATGATCTGTTAAAACTCTTTAAAGACGAATTCTACGCGCTTTTCGGCGTTTTAGTAAAACTTGATAGTTTATTTCAGGAAACAGGAATTTAGGTCTCAAGTTGAATAGAGTTTCCCTGCTTTTCAATGCGCTATCCAACCGCTGATCAGATTTTGCTTCCAAAGGCGCTATGAAAGCTGGACATAAACTCACTGTCTCAATTCATCACGACAAGTTTTTTCATGAACTAGATAATGATAAAAAAGTAAAATAAGTACAGACGCATTAGTCCTTTTTATATATGAGCAAACGTTTTCGTAGCTGCTACAAACTTTAAAGTTCTGTCACTAGATCATTAAAAAACGTCTTCAGCTTTATGCTTGAGTGTATACCTGTTTATTAATATTATTATCATCATCATCAGTCGTAGCAGTTAGATAATCACCGTATTCAAAGACGGCCGACCCGTGGAAGTAAAATTATGGATTCAACTAACTGAACCGTAGCGAATTGGAATACTGACGTGAACTACCATGAATTTCTCATGCGAATAAATCACAAGAAAAGAAAAACACTAGGTTATTTCGAGGACATGTTTGGAAGAATGAAGGAAAACATAACAAGTGACAAGCTGTATGAATCACAATTAGCTTCGATTGGCGGCGTGATGTAATAAGCCCAGGGTAGAGAACTTCATACGCTTTTGCTTCTGTCGTTGGTTACAGAACCAAACACGAACAACATTTTTTCTCAAATTTAACTTTTCAGCGATTTGTGATATTTTTTCCGATGAGGGACGAGGCTGAACACTGAAAAAGGCCTCCAACGATCGTTTCTCCGAGTCAGTTATTGAGGTACGTTTACGTCTCTTTTCTTCTTCTGGATCATAGATTTCCGGATGTCGTGATCGCTCTGCAGCATCGGCTTCCGCCTCTTCTAACCACGCTTGCAAAACTGGTTTCAGAGCAACCATATTATTGTGAGACAGAGTGAGTGATTCAAATCGACATATAGTAGACTGTGATAGAGAACCCACACCAGCAATTTTCAGGTTTCCCAGTGCTTTACCTACATCGGCCTGAGTGACGCCTAACTTGATGCGGCGTTGTTTAAATAGCTCCGAAAAGGCTTCCAGTTCTCGGGGATTATAGTCCACTTCTGTCGGTGGTCCACTCAAGGAATAATTGTTATTTGTTGTACGTTGAGTGTATGAACCACCTGTGGCCGAGGCCAATATATTTGGTGCAAAATTGGATGTGCCTACTCGCGGTCTGTTCATTGGATAGGGAGTTGGATGGGGTTGTGGTGTGGTTGGGGTGGTCGATTGCATCAGACCGCCCACTGGAGGTAACATGTGATAGTTGAAGCTGTTAGGGAAATTTGTAGCCATAGCAGCAGCTGCCATGGTATTTGGATCCGTAGGACAATTGAGTAACGGTGCACAACGTAGTGATTGTCCAGGTAATGAGTTGAACTGATGCGGAAGCATGGGACAATCCGATTGGGAAGAGTAATTTTCCAGCGAGTTCGAATAAAGGTTGACACAATGTGACGTGTGCATTGAGAATGATTGCGAATCATTACTCATTGCTGGTGCTTGATTATGGTAGGGATTGGTGAATGTGGACAATAATCCTTGTGAGATGCACGGAAGCACATTCATGACCGGGAATGTTTCCGATGACATCAGGTCTGCGGATGACCCATTCCAATCATCCATTGGCATAGATCCCACTTTAGGTAATCCTGAGTTATCCTGATGCCATTCCAAAGAAGACGGGCCTGCATGAGAAGTGTATGATGGAAAACCAAGAAACAAATTGTTACCCTTACGCACATCACCATCGTCGCTCGGACTAGAATGGAATGGGTCATCATTATCGTTCCTGGAATTACTCCAGTCTGCCTGATGACCAATCATTCTTACAGGCTGCATATCACAGGTAGTCGAATTCAATTGATACAATCGGGCTTTCATGTCATTCTGATTCGATAATGGATCCATTGAATCGATCGAGTTTGGGACAAGGGCGTTGGTCACAGCGACACCGGTCTCGTTAGGTTGCCTGGGAGAACACATTGGTTCCCCATCGATTTTGCGATCCGAGNCGATCCGAGGTTCGTACGGAATCCATCATCGAATGACCCACGGTAGAAGCGATGGGTGGTCCGCTACTAGATTGTACATCAGGTGACTTTTGAACTACTGTGCAATTTGCTGTTGAAGTGCCAACAAATTCAGTTTCAGGGCAGTCAACTTCGTGAAATGTAGGATGAATGTTGCGAGTATTGCCCTCTATATCAGGATGCGATGAATAGGAAACTGTTATTTTCTGTGCAAACTCGGGCACTAGAGCACTAGAAGCTGGTAAAGATTTGAACGTGGTACTTGTGTGATCCTCCGATGGGACACCACTTTCACCAAGCGTTTCATTAAATGGATTCCGTGAAAATTGTTCCGAAGTTGACTTGATGAACAAAGTATTGGGGTCACACATCTCAGATTTGTTGGACACTCTCAGTTTACCAGGAAATGAATCCAGCGGACACATCTGTCGATCGTCCAGTTCTATATCACCAGATGAAAAATTCACGTGGTTCGTTGCGTAATTACGCGTCTCTGTCTCAGACATATGTAGGAATGGTATTTTGTATTCAGTTGAACCTCGACCTGCACGCTTATCAATGCTTTTGGAAGCCACTACCGCTTGTGCGTTCCCATTGTCTTCTGAAGTATCATATTCCGGCTTCTCTGAAAACCGACTCAACTCTGATGACTGACTGGCAAGTGAGTATCGTCGATCGTGGCTGGATCTGTTACTAGTTTGAGTTGATGAACCCGTGTTGAACAGTCGATCAAACCACTGGTGACTAGCAATAGCCAAAAGAGGATTCAGAGTAGGAGATTCTTGAGGTAGATATGTTTTTAGCGGATATTCATTTAATGAAGGTTCTTCGAATGCAAGGCATCCATACTGTGATTTGTAATGCGCGCCGTCTCGAAATCCGTGAATACTTGCAATACTTCGGGTTGAATGATCCGAGTCGCTGTTCATTGTGAGTGATAAATTGGCTACAACGTTCAAGATTGGTTTGCAAGGTTTGCGCACTGCCGGCACACCCAGATTCTACGAGGATTGTGTCACTGCTCGCGGGGATAACATTTGTTATTCTGAAAGATAAAAAGTGAATTGCAGTGGTGACAGTGGATGACAAGAAAAGCCGGATAATTTGCACACACTTGAACAGAAACATCCCTAGTCTTTCAGTGACTAATAAAACGTGATTCATATGGTAATTCAAAAATGTTATTTTGCAAGCCATAAATATATAACCAATCATTGCAAAGTGGCTTCCGTTTTATTTGAAGCAATAGTCTAAAATTTCAACATTCAAAAATGTTACTCGCGACCTACAACAGAAAATACGGTAATTTCATCAACTCAAATGAAAAGCGTTTTAGGTGGATAGAAAATAATAATATTTGTGTATATGAATAGACCAAGATTTGAAAATCAAGTAAGTTCTTTTCAAAAACAAAATGACTCGGGATGAAATATGTCATGAGCATTTGTTATTTCGAAATTGAGCTTCATGAGACTGAATATATACGTAGCCCTTACACCGTTTGTTAGGTTGTATTTTTTGCAAGTGTTTATTCGTCATGTCAAAGTCCAGGTGTCCATCCCCGTCTGAAAGACCTTGGAAGCACTGAGCGGAAAAATTAACAGATCCTACCAACCCAATTGACTAGGATCCGGCCGACCCCTCCCCCCCCACCTCGCCATAGTACCTCATGAGCACGCATTGACCCCGACCAAAGAATATGTTTTCGTAAATGAAAAGAAAGTTTCACATAACAGACATCAATTGCATTATTATGAACTGATTTAGAAAATAAAGTTTTCCTCTCCAAACATAAAAGTTTTTACTCAACCCAAATAAATACCCATTAACATGGCTAAAATGACTGATATTAGAATATTCAACATAGTTGCTTGTTGTATCACTGTCTTGTGCACGCTCTCTGCGTCCAAATATGCACTGCAGTCGAACTACATATATATGCATAACATGTTACTTTTTGAGAACATAAGACGAAAACGATAGTTGAGTAATATGAAGCGACGCACTTAACCGTGTTTGGAACGTGTTCAAAACTTGTTGCTACTATACTTCCCTATATCACCTATATTACGTTGTTATTTGGGTCACTGTCAAATACATCTTGATGGAAAAGCTTTTAGTTTCGGGGTTTTGGTTTCCGTGATCACGGAGCACATTTAAGACTTATGATCTTTTTAATGTGCACCGTTCCGCATGCAGTGCATGATGCGAAAAGAGAACTAACTCAAGCCAACCATAAATTTGAGGCTTTTTTCATCGTATGTATTCACTGGCTTATCCTGAAANATTCACTGGCTTATCCTGAAAGCTTCAATGAATGACTCGTGCAACCACACACTATCTCTCATTCGTTTGTCAATTCGGGTTCATGAGTGATGCAGATTAAGGGGGTGAGCAAGGATAATCTGTCGAGAAAAACCTGCAAAACACTATTCATAGAACTTGAACAGCTTCGAAATTCCCGAATTTGAAATTGTCCTAAGACAAAAATTAATCCTACATAAAACAGTTACATATTCTACTCTGGTCTGCAACTGACACATGTATGATCGAATAAAATGTCAGCTAAGCATCATGATGGTGGAACTGGAGTGTAATAGATGTGCAAATAAAACATAATTTTATAAGGTCACTCGAACTTCAAAATCCGAAAATAATAATAATTTTAAGGGCGACTGAAATGATAGGAAATCTAAAACAGTTATAGATGGTCAAATGAACTCAAAAGGGTATAACGGAGTTAGTGAAGCACCTTTGCTCCGTCATGAGGCGATGATTCAATGAACCTCACATTGCTTAAAGAAGCAAGCAATTAAAATCGCCTTGCAACCATTTTTCTTCATGAAAGCATTATGGAACTTCAAACCAGCAGGTAATTAGCCAAACCTATGCAATATTTGGCCACTAGTATATTTGAGAGGAGAGAGGGTAATGTGTATGATTGATTTCTTTTTTGAGATCAAAACTTAAGCGACATAATCGAATGACAATTTTCAGGTGTTTAGGCTTCATTAACTGTTCATATGGCTTACTGATTAATTTGAGGCTTCAATTTCCAAACTCACCAGTGACGTGTTTTTGGATGCTAATCGTTTTCGTACAAAGAGACTATTCATTTAAACACACAAAACTTTCCTAGGAACTGTTCATTAACAGTCTCTTGTGAGCCTGTTAAAAGAAATATGGATGGCTCAAATGACAGTACAGTAAACGCTTTCAGCCTATCAATACCTATCGAAGCACAAGGAAACTGTGACAAAAAACAATTAAACACCACAAAAGAATTGAAGTACGGATTTAAATTCGGATTTTCTAATTTATTTATANTTGCGTCCCGTAGCCAATGACGGAGCGAAACGGAACACAATCAAATTTTCATTATCCATCTAACTTATTTGGTTTTAATGCAAACGAAACACGGTAGTAAGTGCGAGGTATAGGGAGAAAACATGTCCTACGCACCATTTGTGAGGCTTCAAGAGAAATCATCACCATTTAAGATAGGACAAATTGAGTTCGCACTCATTGGTCACGGAAAAAACGGAGGAAACTGAACACGTGAGTTTTGTGTTGTTCAGTCCATCCAACTCCCTCCTACCTCATATTGAGGTCAGCATGCCATCGCTAGCCCAGTTTACTTAAGTGGCTCCGCCAAAAGCGCGAAGAGGCACTCTTTATTAGCACGCAAACACTCTGACCTGTCCATCAATTTCTATTCAACACTTACGCTTGCCCCCAAACCGCAACCTGGAGAATCGTTCTAGTCAATCTTTTGCGACTGAATGCTCTTGATTCACCAACAGACCAAATCCGAGCAAGACCATGCCGAATTCTTGATTTCCCTCTCCTTGGCACAAGAAAGATACAGTTCCCCTTAACGTATATACTGCACCGTAAGGAAGTGCTTGCTATAAGTAATACTCAGAGAGTCCATTTGGCGTGAAACGTTAGAGAAAATCCATCGAACCTTTAAAGCTACTACGAAAAGTACTGACAGTCTTAAACAGATTAATATAACTGATACTGGGATAAAGAAATCAGCTATGACAGCTTATTAACAAGGCAATTATGGAAAACAAAACGTAAATGAAGCTGACACCACAGATTAAAACAATTTTTATGCTGCTAAAAATAACTAAAACAAAATTATCACAGCAACATTGTAAGTGTTTCGTCAAATTAAATATCATGTGTTTCACGAACATAAGTAACATAAGTAACATGTCGTTAAAAAATTGAGGCCAATGAAAGAGACACATCCATAGTACGTTAAACAAACTGACTGATAGATATTTTTACCGAGAGATGCTAGTGTAGGACAAAAACTATTGGAAATCGGTCTTCTTAGTACTTTCGTATCAAGCACTGAGGAAGTAAAACTCCTTGCAGAAACGTAAATAATGGTGATGACAGTAATACCAGTTATGACAGCAGCAGAAGTAGAAATGGTGGTGGTGTGGTGTTATTAGAAATGTACATGATAGCTGTTTCTCGTCCAACTTTATGACAGTTAAATCCTAATAAGAAATCATGCAAATCAGTAATTTTCAATAGGTTTTCTTTTTCACGTTAAAGTTAACCTTTTCAACTTGCCCGTTCGATTGAACATCAAGAGGCAAACTGAGATATGCATTCTATTCGCCATGTATTTATTCGCTTTTAAACCTTTCCTGTGTGGTATATAAGCTGAAACTTATTCCTTCAATAGACTTTCTTCCTATTCCGATAGTCACTCGGACTGTATGAGTCAAAATAGCATCCGCATCGACTCGAATTTAAGTAATCTTTCTGTTCATTGTCTTACGTGGCTCAACGTTCCAGGCTCGATGCAGCAATTTCTGAACCTCTTTATTTCAAACAGCTTTCTTTGATTAAGAAGTCTGATTCTTAAACCGTTCTGCACTAAATATACAACTGTTTTACGAAATACTTTCACAGGGGTCTTATATCTAAAGGCTGACAATGATTATTTGATAGAATTTATCGGTACCTCCAAACGAGGAGTTTGTCTATTCTTGCTTGCACTACAGAAGAATCATTATGGCATAAAAATTAGTTAAAATTTGGCAATGTCACATAATGCACTTCTATAACATTCAGTTTCGATGGCACATGTGTTGTGAGAAAACTCACCTTGCACAATTTGCTCGTTTGACAAACGGTATCTCGTATAGTACCATAACTGAAACCTGTGTATTTTCGCTTGTTACGGTCCGATATATTGGGGCCCGCGAACTTCTTAGCTCAATACTGCGGTGGCTATTGGCTGTACCACCGGTCAACCGGACGAATCGAGTTTGGCAGCACACTCCAATGGCTTTGTCCCATTACACAAACAGTGAGCGAGAGTGACCTTCACTCTAGCTACCACATCTCGCAAGCGTGCAATCCATGCAATGACTACATTGTGCATTCTGCAATAGGGGACGGAAGACTGACTCTAATGGGTAGTCTGGATTCCAACGGCTGATAACTTCCACATCCTCGAGGACCACCAGTCATTAAACTACCGTATGAAGGACATCTAAAATAAATTTTCGCAGCTCTTCATCGCTTGCATCCACTTGTAAATCAAGTGGATCCCGCTGGTAGTCCTGCGCGGTTTGTGTTACTTGCTAACTTCAGGCACTTTTGTCTCAGACCCTATTACGTACCAACTCAAAAGACGCATGATCTTTGGGGTACCGCATTCCAAGTATTGTTCACATAATCTAATCATCCAACTGTCAATGTGTCCATACTTTATATTACTCAGTCATCTAACACGCATCTGGGCAGCAGCAGGCTNATTCAGAGTATATTTGATAATACATTATTCAGGGCCCTCAAAACGAAAGGAAACAAGAAGCATAAGTTAGTAGGAGGCCAACTAACAGGCAAGCAAACAAGCGGAAGGAGCTAGGCTGATAGGCAAACAGGCAACGAAAAG